TTTGCACACAATTTAATTGTTAGAACGAAGAAATAAAATAGTAATATATTTTAATACTTATACTCCAGAATTATATTGCAAGTCCAAAGTAAAATAGCCAACAATTAGAAACGTATTGCATGCCAGTAAACAGAATACAAAGAAAAATAATTGCTCACCTTTGCCCACAATTTAATTGTTAACCCTTTGCACTCCGAATATTCCGATTTCATTACATTTTTCTCGAGCCTCAGTCAACATAGAGTCGCAATGGGCTAATGAAATGTTGAGAAACACTTTCCTTTATTTTTCTGCAAAAGTGTGGCGTATTGGGCAACATCGACTTATCGTTCGGGGCCAGCAACAGAAGCGTCGTCGCGCGAGCCGGTACTTTCCTAAATTCTCGAGATAGAGACTGTTGAGTTAACTATCCTCGCCCACGGGATCATGCAGCGGCGCGTTAGGAAGTTATAAGTCTTTAAACTTTAACTTTAAGTTGAACTCTGCGGCGTAAAGTTAGTTTCATTCTAGCTTACTTATACTCCCGCGGTCAAGTCCTGAAACCTTAAGAACTCCGGAGATATTACAATAAACTTCGAATGGTTTATATCGCGGTGGCTCGGGAGAAGTAAGAAGATCCGTATACATATGTATGCGCTCAGCGAGATTCGTGACTTTTATTTACGTTACGGTTTGCTTCAAATTTCTCCTTTAACTGGACGGAGATTGTTATTCGTGCGATTTGCATTCTATTTCCTTGGAGGGTCGACGTAATAAAATATAAATTAAGGACGGATTTCTTGGGCAAGTGTACGTATGAAGACTGAACTATTGAAATCATCGACTGAGATAAAGGCGAGCCCAAATAATGAAAGCATTTTGTGAATGGTCGAGGAAACAAATTTGAGAGGAAACATGAAAACGTAAAAATGAATGAAACATAGATAAAACTTGAATGGAAGATTGGATACAATCAGTCCCATAAATATTCGTACTCTCTATGCCTACTGAAGAAATTTATTTAAATTAAATGGTTGATTCGATGTTTCCAAGTGTATGTTGTATATACAGTCAGTGTAATAAGTATTCGTACAAGAATCAATTCAAAATAAAGCTTTATAGTTTTATTTTATTAATAAATGTTAGAGGAAGAAGATTTCGCGTAAATTACAATTTATTATTTTTAATGTTATCCTCTTATTCCTTTTCTTATTAGTTTAATTTTGAATTAGTTGTACTTCTTACGCTGACTGTTCATGTAGAAGCTTATTCATATACATGTTTACAATGAAAAATTCACATGATGATATCAAAACTATTATTTAATTTAGTCAAACTTCTTCAATAGACACAGAGGTTACGAATATTTATGAGATTGACTGCATATAATAAATGATTGCACAGAGTCAAAGTGCATGTCTAAATTATTCACGATGTATTCGCAGAGGAAACAATACGCTTGGTTGTAACATGAAACCTATTCTCACTACTCGTTCATTTTTAAACGTCCAAAGTATAATACTACCCCTTTCATATACGTGGATTTGTATGATACTACAGATAGAATAATATCGCATCACTAGGCAATGAAGAATCAGTGAATAAATAAAATATAACAGCATGTATTTGGCATTAATTCTTCATACAGGTTTTTCTATAATAAATATTGATCGATTACTGCATAATACTATTGGAAACGTATAGAAAGTTAAGTAGCGGATTTAATCAGGACCAATCAGTAATTAACTTTCTTTTTAATTTTCACTTGGTCACAAATGAAGAGGACTCGAGCATAAGGTGTACGGTTTTTGTTTAATAAAGCAAACTGTGCATGCAACTGACGGCATTTCCCGCTTGCTTGATAATCATAATTAATTGTACCGAACGTATACTTTATGAATGAAACAGATGCATAATTAAATGGATTCCTGGAACAATGTTGTAAGTTAGATTAGACAAAGTTTCCAGGCTGCACGGGATTAATTTGTTTATGTAACATAGAAACGAGCTTGTAATATGCAACAATGTTTACAAATTACAGGAGAAAATCGATACTGATATCGATGTTATTAACTTACTTCGCGTGAAATTAGAAATTAATTATGTTTTACTGATATACTAAAATTGCACTAGAAGTTTATCTACAAGGAACCACGGCAAATTAGGTGAAAAAAGAAAGATGCAGATAATAAGTATGTACTTGATATTATTAAATGTTTCACGTGAAATTAGGAATAAATTATGTTGTTCTAGTGTAGTATAATTGCACTACAAATTTATTTACAGAGAGTGACACAAATGAGGTAAAACAAAAGTATATTATACGACCAACATGAATAAATGTGAAAGATAGAGATCTCTTTTTAAAGCAGACTCAATAATACACAAATGGAGAAATCTTCCGACTAACAAAAATTAGAAATCAAGAGACCCAGAATTGCATACTCTCGCCTTACTCACAGCTGAGTAGATTTAAAGGATAGAGATTTCTTTTTTTATTTAAACCAGACTCAATAATACACGAATGAACAAATCTTCCAACAAACGTAAAATTATAATCCAAGAAACCTAGAACTGTACACTCTCACCCTACTCAGCATTAAGTAGATCCAAAGGATTCCACTTTAAATCAGACTTAATAATACTTCACTTAAGAAATCCTCCACCAAACGCAAAATTCTTACCCAAGAAACCCAGAACTGCACATTATCACTTTACTCAGCATTAAGTAGACCCACACAATTCCTCTTTGGAGGAATAATAATACCTCACTCAACAAATCCTCAACCAAACGTAAAATTCAAAACCAAGAAACCCAGAACTGCATACTATCATCCTACCCGCTGGAGGTTATACATAAAATCAAATCGATATGTATTCGATGCGCGCGGTATCCGTACCCTGGCTCCCACCCTCGCGAAGTAACAAGCCTCCTGAAAAGAGAATAGCGAAAAAAGCTAAATACTGAATGAAACAGTTTCTCGACGTCATAAAAGAAGAGCTGAAAATCCGACGAGCGTAGGGTGACTAGCCCCCGATCTCCGCCACTGTTTCCACCCCGTGGCCGAGTTGGGGGTGGTGGACACGGCGCCGCACGGCGCGGGGGTGACGATTTCGCTTCGGCCCGAGTCGTCGCGACGCTAGCGCCGCGCCGGAGGCTCCAGTCCGAGCCCAGCATCACTCGTGGTGGTTTCGCGCGCGCATACCCCGCCAAGGTGCGACTAACTTTTCGAGAAACGACGAAAGAATCCGTTCCTTCGAACACGCGTCTCCATCCCTCGCGACGTCTTTGAACGATCCACGGAAAAAGTGTCGTCTGTTGCTGTCAGTTCCACCGCGACGTCGTCATGCGAACACGGGACCGTCCGGCGAACGCGTGCACCGACAGCGTGCGAGGATTCTCGATGACGTGAAAGGTTGGAAAAACAATGGGAAACTCTGGCGAACACCGTCGAACATCATCGAGGAAAGGATCGCGATCGCGTTCACCGACCCACTGGCACGCGTTCACCCTGGAAACCCTCGAAGCGTGCAACGGGACCTTCCTTCAAAACGAAAACTCGCTGGTCACCGCTCCTCTGTAAACAGGATTCCCAGCCCGCGGCTCTGTTTACCAAGTCTTTTTACCGGTGAATCGTCGCTCGAAAGACTCCGAAAGAATCGCGTCTCCTTTGTGTCGTCGCGTTCTCTTAGTTCTCGATTGAAAGACACCAAAGGTGTTTCTCCTCGCGCGGTGCACCGTGCCTCTTCACGATCGTTTCTACCCGAGAGACTCCACCGGAAGCGTTATGGCTCTTGTGTGAACGTGGATCTCGAGGATCTCGGGCGATTGAAAGACTTCGAGACGTGTTTCTCGATTTCGGGAACTGTGTTCTTTAGGAATCATGCTTGTTTGAAAGACAAGCTCGTCGGGACCGCGTTTTTCCTCTGTGTCGCGCAGTGTTCCTCGCGGACAAAGGACTCTCTTTAATAGATTCCAGCGGGAAAGTGTTTTCCTTGTGTCGCGCGGCGTGTTCTCCAGGATCTAGGTCGATTAAAGGGCGGGTGTACGGTGTTTTTCTTCTCTCCTTGGAACCGGAAGAGGGCCTAGCAGGTTTGCCAGAGAGGTGTTTACTCCTTTGTGTTCCCCAAGAACCACTCTTTCCCTGACACCGTGTCCCAAAATCGAAAGATTCCGGTAACCAGAAAGGTTCTCCCTTGTGTCGTGTACCTACGAGACAGCGATCAGTGTCGCCGATCGAAAAGGTGATCCTCTTTCTGTGAAACGTAAACGTCACCGCGATCCTCCCGCGACAGTGTGTGCCGTGCATCGGAAAGTACTCGGAGCCGATGGGAGGCTGCATACGTCGGATCGCAGGGATGATCAGTGCCTGGAGAACACTCGACGCGCTCGGTTGCTGAATTCCCAGCGAATAATTCGTCCCATCGAGCCAGTACCCGACGAACATCGCCGCGTAATCGCGGCAGGAACGCGCGACGCGGTGTTCCAGGCCTCCGGAGTTGGGCGCATCATGCTCCGCTGCTCGAAAGCGCCACTCGAACCTCGAGATCCGCGGTATCGATCCGCCGATCGCCGATAAATACACTGGTCAAGCTTGTGCGTGACAGGTGCGCGTAAAAACGCGTCGAGAAGGAACAAAGAAATTGCGACTGTTGAGCAGGGAAGAAATTGCACTGCCATTGATCAACGATAATTGCAAGGAGTCGAGGATTTTTAGTTACACTTTTGGGGACGCAGCAGGTTCTGCATAATACTAGCATTGATTAATTGTTGTAAGGCCGGGAGGAGAGAACGAGGCAGAGAACAGTGGAACGGAGTTGAAGATTTTGAGTTCCACTTTTGGAGACACTTTATAGGTCCTGATACTAATTGTTTGTCATAAGCAGGAAGAGAGAGGATCAGAACAGTGGGACAGAGTTAGGAATTTTGAATCCTACTTTTCAAAACTGTAGATTCTGCATGCCGCCATTAATTAATTGCCATTAAGCTAGTGCGAGGAGAAAGAGGATAGTGGAACACAGTTTTTGAGTTCCACTTTTGAAGACACTGACACAAAACACCAGAAGACAGTTAATGACGTCGAATCGCACTTTTGTATCCCAAAATAATTACCAACTATTAATTCTCACGAAGGAAAGAAGAGAAGAAGCATAAAGGATAACAAATTCCGCGTTTGAAGCCAGATTCCGCATATCGGTGAATATTTAACAGCGATTACATTGGCAAGGACAGCCGGGTGGAGAAAAAGGAACACAGGGGAACGAAATTAAAGCGCGCGAGTCGCTCGCCGAGGCGCGAATGATTTGTAGGTCGGATATTTCGAAAATTGCGGCCGCCGGCTGCCAGAGGAAGTTTCCGAGAGCGATTCCAAGAGGGACGAGATCGATCGTGGAATCGAACGCGGTCTTTCCGTTTCCCTTTTCCAGTCTGTGCCCTCGCACGCGGGCCCTCGTCGCGAGCGAGCAGTAATTACACGCCGTGTCGAGAAGTTACTGCCGTCGACCCTCCCACCTTGGTGCACGTGAGGCTCTCGGAAGTGTACAGTTCTTAAAATCTGCATTTTATAATATCTCACTTCTCGGTATAAATACACTACGTGGTTCAAACCGTAGGAGAGCGAGGAGAAATAGGAGGCGTTAATAAAAAGGAGGCGGAAAGTAAAAGGAGGAGGTATTTAAAATTCAATCGAGGTGGGTGCAATTATGATATAAGGCAGGTTCGGTGCGAAAAAAATTGTTTGGATAGATTCATTAGTCATTTGATGGAGCATGCAGTGTTTTTAAACACCTTTATTGAGATATTGAATCTTGGGCATCTCTTCGAATGTTGATGCAGGGGAAGATTGAATAATCATATTCAAAAGATTTGGAGATATCAAGGCAGGTCCTGGAAACCTTCATCTGAATATTGAGTATTAAGGATATTAAGGATCCTGCTCCAAGTCTTCGAATACGAATTCTGATCCAAGAAAAGATTTAGAATTATCAGGGCAATTATATTTTGCCGAGGATGCAGTGATGTAAAAAGGCCTAGAAACCTTCATCTGAATATTAAATATTAAGGATATTAAGAATCTCAAATTCGATAGGGGTGCGAAAGTACAATCCTGCTCCAAGTCGTCGAGTACGAACTCTGATCCAAGAATAAATTTGGAGATATCAGGGCAGTGAAAGAGCACAGGTCCTGGAAATCTTCATCTGAATATTAATTGTCAAGGATATTAAGGATCACGAATTCGATAGGGATGCGAAATCCTGCTCCAAGTGCTCGAGTACGAACTCTCTAATAAAAAATTTGCGCGAACGTGCCGAAGTCAATTGCAGATACGCCCCGGCAGTGCACTTTACTTCTCTAAGAATATATGCAGCGGTGTGAAGAGGGTATTCAAGCACTTCCACCGGGATATTGAATTTCGAGGAATCGAGTGTCACGATTCGTTTGCCAAAGAAGGTTCCTTCGTCGTCGCGTGAGATATACATCTTCGTCCGAGTTCCGGGTCGACAGAACGGTCCCGCGGAACCGGAACGGGCTGTGAAAGTGCGTGCAGATTACGCGACATAGACGAGATCGATCGGCCGCGAGGAGTGGCCGCCGAGAGTTCCTCGGGAGTGATAAATAAAAGGTGCGCCCTGTCGAGGACGAAGAATCGTAACCGGGAGTGAAACCGAGCCTGGGTGCTCGCCGTTTTCCGATCCATCCGCGAGAGCTACTCGTTTCGTATTTCATTGTCTTCCCTCCCGCGCAACCCAGTGTTTCGCGTCAAAGGCGATTCACGCCGCTCCCGATTCCGCGTTTGCACGGCCGCAAGACAGAGGAAACCCGATCTACGCGAAGGTGAGTTTCTAGAGTTTTGCGGTCCTTTCCGTGGTGTCTTCGGTTTTTTCCAAGCAACGATTCTTTCGTCGACGATCGGTCTATGCGTCGATACGATTTACTTCTTCAATTATGCAGGCTGTTTAACACGGTGTCTGCTGAGCTAAAACTCGTGAAAATTTCTGTAGAGTGAAAAGTTTGTCTCGAGACTATCGAAGATTAGATGAATCAACATCTGTTGTAATATGTAGATTTCTTAACGTAGCCAAACTCACAAATTCTGTGTAGATTAATTTTCATTATCGTCTCACCTTTGAAGTTACGGCATCTTCCGCCTCGAGATAAGCAACTCGCCGGTTTGAACCAAGTTGCTTATTTCGAGACAAAACTGTAACTCCTTTAGTTTCTCAATAGAAAGGCCTGGGTGACATGGCGACCAACGCGTTAAGTGGTTAGGTCTAGTCAGGTATTTTAAATAATTTTGTTTACAATAGTTTAATATATTTCATAAAATAAATAATCCTAAGTTATTATACAATGTTTCAACTATATTCGGGAAAATTTTCGAAACGAAATATTCATTGTAGATAGAGTTATCGCCATATTTGTTGAACCTTGTTCCACAAGTAGTAGAATTAGAATTCGAAATGAAAAACAAATATTATTAAATGCATGCGCAAGAAAAGAAATTCCATGACAAAAATGAAAACAATAAAATAAAATTTCAAGGAGAAAGGTTAAAATTATCTGAAGAAGAAAGAATTAGGATTTCGATTAATACAAAAACTAAACCTAAAAACTAAAAATGAAACTAAAAATAAACGTAATATTTTCACATAAAATGGACGTATAGTCCAAGCCAATTACTAGAACCGCTCCGTATAAAGTTATACTCGAAATGAATTGAATACCGTATAGTGTATCAATTTATTGTTCCTATGGGCGATACCGGTCTGCAAGTGGATCTGGCCAGTATCGGTGGTCGAAACGTAACTGACTATGTTCCCGTGTTTTTCAACAGGAGGTCGGTTATAACAAATTCGAATCTCGATTGGTAGATGCAGTTTCCGATAGAATTTCGGGCAACGGTGGTGGCCGGTCGCTGATACGAACTTGTAAATTTGATGAAAGCGGCGGGAGAAGGAATTTTTACACAGGAAATAACCGACACGGTCGCGACGATTGTTCGTAGTCGCCTGTTGTTAACACCGATCTCTCAATTTTTAAACAAAGCTCCTCCTTTCTGCCAAAAAGAATGACGTGTTCAACCGAGACGTGTCAACCGAGAAAGTACCGCGACGTATTCTCCCACTGCTAATTGCTATCTCCACTTAGAACAGTGCTACAGTCCCAGCCCACTTACTATAATCGTCCTGTAATCCAATCTGGCTCCACTGCATTAATTTCCGCGAAGAGATAGCGTAATTCGAGACCCCTTCGCGAATACGTTGCGCAGCGTCTAACAACCCTAACACGGCATCGTCAATAATTATGAATGGACGAACAGACCGGGAACGAAGAAGAGGCTGCTGGGAGATACTTCGCCGTTAGAAATTTCACTCGTTGTTCCCGTCTCGATAAAACCGATATCCGACGTCTCGATAAGTCTTCGGGGTAAGCTTTCCACGGGCGTTCCTAGTTTCCTTAGAAATTGCCACGTTAAATTCATACCCGTCGTCGGGGCGCTCGACCGAGGTTGCTCCGATACTTTAATTACTTTTTCTCGTATGCATCACCCGGCGATTTACAAACTCCGATGCACGCGCGGAAATGAAAACGCTGAACGTTGTTTCCTGCCGCTTTTAAACCGTCTATCGAAATAAAGTACGCCTATTCATCCATTGTCGGAAAGGTCTTTTTGCGACCACTGCGAAAATATATCTTGCATTTATTTGTTTCGCTTCTGGAAAACCGTTTGCCCAAGGTTTTGCATCGTTGGGGTGAGTCCGGCATTGTCCGCGGTTACAATGACTGAAAACGCTGCAACTCTGCGATTAATAATAGAATTAGCAACGAAATGTAGATCTAAAAATTGGTATTAAAAAAAAGAAATCACCCTTGCTTTGATAAAATTTTTATTTCAAGATTAAATTATTTCAGAACCACACCATTATATAACCAATTGTTCAATAAATTGAGGACCGGAAGGGCTAGAATTTGCAATCAATAGTACAATTGGAAATGTAGATCCAAAGATTAACATTGAAAAAAGAAATCACCCTTGCTTTGATAGAATTTTGATTTCAAGATTAAATTATTTCAGAATCATAATGTAACCAATAATCTAATGAACTATGGCCCCGAAATTTCCACTTGAATAATGAAAATAAAACTCAAAATTTTGCATCAGGACCTCCTAAAATTTTTAATATAGATGACGTATATGAAAATCTGCCGCGTCCGTCGCGATATTAAAAGTAAAAAATTAAAAGCAGCGTTCCAAAAGGTCGCAAAAGTGGTGCGCTCCGAGCGTACACGTCGTAAAACGAATCGAGCCGTGTCCTCGATGAAATGTTTCGCAAATATTTATTATACCCTCGCACGGAGGGTTCGCTTTGGCGCCACACAGAAAACTTATCGAAACGATAACCTCGCCGCATCGATTTTCGAATGCAAATATGAGTCCGACGACTGTTCGCTTCCGATATTAAAATGTTTTCGATATTTTATGAACATGTGCTTTCGCGAGTCGGCCGAACCAGCGCGTAATTTGCAGCCAAGTCGACGCAAAAATGTTTACGTTTATTCTTCGTGCGTGTGAAGTCCATTTTCCGCTAACGCGATACGTATTAACTTTATGTTACCGCAAAAGCATTGGAAACACTCGTTTCGGCTTAGTCTGTATTCGCGGAGCTATCTTGTCATGCATTTAACGACCCCTTTGTACGCAAAATACGGCGAAAACCTCAAGAGCGAGCTCAATTTTGTGGAAAATCGCCAAAGAACTTCTTGGATTAACTTCGGACCGGGGGAATCTCGATCACCTTGTTCTTTAACCTCGTGAGGGATGAATTCTAAACGGACTTTCTTTTGCTTTAATCGAATGCACGCAAAGCAAAGGAATTTTTATCTCTAAATCTGGAATTTCCTCAAGAATTTCTAACCATTGCATAACAAGCCATCAAATTACTTTTTTTTGTCTCGTTTGATAATGCAGACTCTACCATAACCGAAACAAATGCGCGTGCTCGTTTAACACGCAAGACACGCTAAACACCGTCCTTTGCCGTCCAATGAATTCTGAAAATCGTTTCAGCCTCAGTCGCTGGTCGCAACAACATTATCGTCGTTCTGTACAACGGAACGTTTTTCGCAACAATCACTGCCTCGCTAATACGTTTTTCCTTCCAATTTATTTAATAATCCCTCCGTAAACACATTTACTGCCTCGCGTGATATTCCAGAACGATGGTTTGCGACGAGGCTTTAATCACAGCCTTTGCTCAGAAGAAAACTAGGTTGAAACTAGACAATATGCCCCACTTTCGCTTGAAAATCGATAGAAAAACAATGTTATTCAGCAATTCTCTATTTTATCTATCGAGTTGTATCACTATTTTTAAATAATATACTATTATATATTGTATTCAATCAAATGGTCAACGTATTCGTTCTTTATTCAAATATATTTTTAATGTACAGAGTGAATCACTCTTTTTATAGTAAATTAAATACGTATGTATTGAACCTTCTATGAATTGAATTTTTGTCTGCAAACCACTTGCAAGGGGTTAGTTTGATATTTCAGGTTGATAGTGCTGCCAGTAATATTATCATTGAAGAGAGATTATATATTTAAGACGTATACGTCTCTTGTGAATTAACTAAAATTATTCGGTGAAATAATACCACTTGAAAGTTACACGGGCCCATGGGGGGTTAGGTCTGGGCTTGGGTCGCTATTTTACTAAAACAATCTGAATAGAAAACGCCAGCTAATAGATCTTTCTTTAAATCAATTATGTTTGAAGAAAGAAATTGTTGAACTTATGATCTTCACGCATCCAAGGTCCTGTTTGACTCCTTGAAGTTAGATGGCTTAAAAACTGCCCCACCTTTTGCTTACCTCTACTATTTTATTTAAAGTTTTTCACTCATTTGGCGATACTGTACATATCAAAACGCTCAAGTTGACACTATTCTTCTATGCAGCTTGAATTTTCTTTTCCTTTTATAATCGTGTCCCTTTCAGAGTTAGCCCATTGACCCTAAACTACAAATCTGACATAGCATTTGTAAAATAAACGAGCGGGTTAAGCCAACGACTGGTCCTCCGTGGAAACGATTAAGCCACGGTTCACGTTCCACTGATTGCGCGTTTAATAATAATTGTCCCGACGACTTTTTGTCGGAACGCACGGCATAATTCCGGGTCCGCTGGCCGCGGCGGGGATTTATTGGACGAGTACACGCTCGGCGAAATTGCTAGCGAGTCATCGAGGATTGAATCCGGCCGGAAGGAGGGCGAACGACAGCCGAGGACAGAAACTCGAGCATAATGGGCGAATCCTGGGCAAAACTGAAATGATTGATGGGAAGAACGAGAGAGATGGCAAGGGCTAGGAGCCGGTACGACGGCGAAGGAAACGGCTAGAGGAAACAAAAGGGCGAGAGGAAGTAGTTATGCTTGTGTACAGAGTAGGTCGACACCTAGGACGCCCTCCTCCCCTCCTCCCGAACGCAGTTAACTCGAATGCTTCCGATAACAGTGATAGTGTACCGGGGAGTCATCAACCGGCTGGCACCGGTTAATGAGTTTTCCAGCCTTTCCTGCTGACAGACATTTGTCATCGTTCGACTTGGACGAAGCAATTTCTGCCACGACCCTCGCTCCGAACCCAGACGAAGAGAAACCGTCGTCCTTATCGGCGAATAACTGGACGAGAAATAACGATGCACGGAGATCGTCAGACTGTTACACGCGGATTACAATCGAATACATTCGCGGCGAAATTTTGCGAAATGAATGAGATAACATTACTTTGGATACAATGAAGGAATTAATAATATTCAAGTTTCGT